ATACATGCCAAGAGGATCTCCAAGGGTCCTTTCTCAGGGAAGGATTGGACAGATAGTCCATGCCTGCCTTCCTCTGTGGAGGGGGTGACTTGAACTATATCGTGCCAAGCCCTCATGATGGTGCAGATGGCACACACAGCTCACCCTCCCTACAGTCCTGTTGCCCCTCTGTATGGGCTCTTGCTCCAGCTGCAGAGAAGGAGCCTGAAGTGCAGGAGCCCTCTGGTGGGTGAGGAGGCTACAAGAGACTGTTAGGAGCTGGTGGCCAAGGATCAGGATCAGAGATCTGAGTCTGACCTGTAGAGAACTGGTGGCTCTTCAATGTCCCTTTACTCTCTGCAGTTGGAATGTGCCTGACTTTCCAAAACCCCGGAAGTGGGAGTGTTTTCCAGGAAGACCACCAGGGATGATGCTGGGAGCTTGGGGACAGTGATGGATGCAGAGCACCTTTTCTAGTACTTCAGATGGTGGGCCCTGGGGCCACAGAGAGGCCCTGCAGATGCCCAAAGCCCCATGCTTGTGCTCCTCTGTGAGTCGCAGCCCCTGGCTCCTAGCCTCATCCTGACAAAAAGGAGGTGGCTTCAGTGAAGCCTGGGGAATAGGCCCTGCGGCTTGGGGCGTTGATGTCAGCGCTGAGTTAGGCCTGGCCACGCGAGGCTCTGGATCCAATTAGCGGCTGCGGAGGGCTCTGGCATGAGAAGGAAGGAGGTGAGCGATGGGTCGCGGGGGCAGAGGATGGTGGCGGCAGGCCTGGGTGGGGCCCCATCTTTCTGAGCCAGCGGCGGCAGCCCAGGTGGATTTCCTGTGGGCCTGGGTCTCATTACCGGAATGGCTACGCTGAGGCCTAGCCCCCCACCTCGGCAGCCCAGTCAAAGGGGCTATTGTGGGCCTGTGGGCTGCTGCTGAACACGGTGGCTGCTGAATAAATGTTTTCCCTGAAAAGCCAAACCTGGCCTCATGGGCCAGCAGGGGGTGGGTGGGACCTAAAGAAAGGGGGATGGTGTGAGCCCTCCCAGAAAAAGCACTGGGGGATGAAGGGAGGACCTGGGCTAAGTGGGAGTTGGGAGTGGGGAGGAGGTAAGCCAAGATGCAGCCCCTAGTCAAGGCGATCCCAATGGCTCCAGGCCAGGCCCAGGGATGGATGTGGACAAACACCAGCCCCCACATTGTTGAGTTCTTGCTGCCATAGGCCCTGTGCCACAGGGACTTATACACATTCCCATTTCATGCCCATACATATAGGGAGACAGGCTGGGAGAGGAGACAGCAGCTTGCTTACAGCAGGCGAGTACGGCTCCCAACATCCACTCCTTGGCCAGCAGAGCTTTGTGAGCCATGGGGGAGGCCTTGGATTGCCAGAAGAGGGTGGGGTCACTGTGAGCAAAAGCTACTCAGGCAGGAGGAGGCACCCAGTCTCTAAGAACACACTGGGTGTGGGACCTATGGCCAAAAAAGGGGCCATATACTAAACCTACAAACTCAGGAGGAGGCTGCTTGGTGGGCCTTACAAACTTAGAAACCGAAAGTAACCACATAGGATGGTCTGAACATAAAAATTTCTAGCTAAAATTGGGTAGTCTTTTTGCATCTAAGTTAGCATACCTTTGAAATGTCAGAGTAATGTCCTTTTCCAGACCTCTCAGGGCATACCATGGGACCTGAGCAGAGACCACAGAGCCTTGCATTGCTATTGTTCCCTAAATACCATCCCTAAGTGAGGTAAATGGTAATGGGTGATTATCCCATACCTACCAATGTAAAAGAAACACGTGTCTATAATATTCTTTATCCAGTCTCAGAGATTTCTCCACTTTGCTTTTTCCCACTTCCCTAATCTACTACCAATTCATTTCATATAACCCCTTACTTCTCCTTCGATTGTAATGCATAAAATAAGCTGTAAAATTATCATTCTCCAGAGCATTTTCTCAATTTGCTGAGGTTTTGCTTCCCAGCAATTATCGTCAGTTTGGCTCAAATAAATTCTAACATTTTCTACAGGTTTGGAGGTTTCTTAGCCGACAGACCTCGTGCCTTTGGCTGATGAATGGGCTTGGGTTAGGGGTCTGGCCAGAAGTGGACACTTTGGTGTGTCCCAATCCCAACTTCCAACCTGCATAAGCTTGTTGCTGGGATGATCTCAACAGAGGACCCACTTCTCTGGCTTCAGCTGCCTCTTCAGCAACAGGGAGGGAAAAATCCCTACTTGCCTATAGCACAGGCACCTGACTATTCACCAGTCCAGAAGCACCAAACCTGGGACCAGAGGTGTTTGTCTCCTGGATGGAGCACAAGCTGCTTCATCACCAGATCCTTCTAACCCCCCATCTCCACCTCCACCAGCCCCTCACCTCCACTTACATCAGGCCCCTACCCCCACCTCCACCCTACACTAGCCCAAGCATAGGTCAGACACTCAGGAAGTGCAGGACAGCCATCTATGGACCTGCTGCTAGAATCTGGCTTTGCAGATAGGATGCTGGTGTCCTGCTCTTCCCACCATGTCTCATCTCCTTTTAGTGTCGTGTACTCCACAAGTGACAGGGATGACAGAGGAAGGCATAGGGAGCTGAGACAGAGGTCCCTGAGAGGGTGGGCCCTGGGTTCTCCCTTGAAGAGGCTGGGGAAGACTGTGTGCCTGATCCCTGGACCCCTCTTGCTCTTATAAGAACATATACCATGCTGAAACCAGTTTGGCTCAGTGGATAGAGTGTCAGCCTGCAGACTGAAAGGTCCCGGGTTTGATTCCGGTCAAGGACACGTACCTTGGTTGCGGGCACATCCCCAGTGGGTGTGTGTGTAAGAGGCAGCTGGTCGATGACTCTCTCTCATCGATGTTTCTAACCCTCTATCTCTTAATTCTCCTCTGTGTAAAATCAATAAAATATATTAATAATAATAAAAAAAGAACATATACCATTCTGCCTAAATTGAGATGGAACATATGTAAACAGTGAAGAAATTGAGGGCATCCATGGAGGCCCATGGCCATGTATTTCATCTCCAGTCCAGTTCACTGAGCAGCTCCCACACCCCAGGAGGGCAGTATAGGATTCTAGCTTCCAGGAAACCTAGGGGGGCAGGGGACCTGCCACCTCTCAGGCCAATCTGGAGGTTGGCATGCATCCCTGTTGTCCACCAGTTTTGAAGAGGACTGGAGAGACCCAATTCCTCTGCCAAGGGTGTGGGCCCGGTGTGAAGGCAGGGGCCAGGATCTGGGGGTGGAGGGGGCAGGAGACTGGCCTGGCTGGCCCATCTGGGAGTAATTTGAGAAATTCCAGGCCTCACTGGCCCTACAAGGCTATTCTTAACTTCTGTAATTACAGGGTCAGCCTTGGCCAATGGTACTGTGGGGTTTGGGCATCGGTTAACTCCTCCAGAGGCTATGCTAGGGCTGGGTAGGGTGGGGCTGCTCTTCAGGGGGAGGGTGACCCCTCACAGGCCAATGGTAGAGCCTGAAAGACAGGAAGTGGTGGGTAGGGAGCATTTAATGGCTAGTGCTGGGTCCCTTTTCCAGGTTGACCAGCTCTCTCCTCCTGCTGGGGGCGGGCCTGTAGGGAAGGGGCTGTCTGGCCAGGGGAAGCAAAGAGGACAAGATGCCAATACAGAATCCACACCAGAGGAGGGGATGCTGGAAATGAAGCAAAGAGCCCAGGGAGCTCCATTTCCTCCAGTGCATGTGGGCCCTAGTGACTCCCCTGAGTCCCCAGGGCCCAGAGCAGGCAAAAGCCTCACACCCAATTCCAAGGAAGGCACTGGAGCTCACTCAGCCTCACCCTCCTTATTTGCAAAGCTTTTTAGCCTCTCCAGGGGCTGTGACAGAGGATGGGAGTGGAGGGTCAATGTCACCCTGACCTTTATCCCTTCACTGAAAACTCACCAGGAATACCCTGGCAGGAGTTCTTATGGCACTCAGAGCCCAGACACAGCCCTTGCGGCTCCTGGAACTTAGAGACGTCACAGCGCTCTCTGTGACTCAGTTTTCCCAGTTGTGAAACAGAAGAGGGAGTGGCTGACGGGATATCCAAGGACCAAGGCCTCTCTATGCTTTGACCTTTGCAGGCCTCTGCCTGGTGGTGGTGCTGGGGGTCCCAGCAAGCCCCTCCGAGAATCATAGCTGAACAAGGCTAAGGCTTTGGAACATGGGCCAGGTCCCTGCCTCCTCCCATCCCAGTTCAGCTAGTCTCCCACACTCCCAAGCCTCTTTCCCCTGCTGTACCTGGTCCATGTAGACTGAAGAGACGGGTCACTCCTCATCACTCAGTGAGCCGCAGTGACCCTGAGCGGGCTTAGCCCAGAGCCCCATGGGCACCACCACACATCCTCCTGCACACCTCTTGTGAGGATGGAAGGATGAGGTGCATTTGCATACCCCTCACCAAGGACAAGAAGGGATGGGCATGTAGCCAGGGCTGAGGAGGCCCCATAAAGCCCACAAGTTCAAGGCCTGCCTCCCTCTGCTCTTTGTGCTTCCAAACCTGCCAACTCATCTGTCCCCACATCCATCCCAAGTCTACCTGGCTATTGTAGCTTTAGGTGTCCTAGGCCCTCAGCCCTCCAAAACACCCATAGCAAAATCAAGTGCATTCTCATGTCGACCAGCCACACATCCGCCGGGTCATAGTCTCCTCCCCAAATGCCAAAATACACCAACCCGAGTCCCCAGGCCAAAAGTCTGCCGCATGACTAAGTGCCACGTGAGATGGGTCAGTTGGGTTAATTCACCCTCTCTGGGCTGCCTCACCATCCCCTGATGGTGAAGCTTCAGGGGGCTCCTCAGACACCTCTGACTGCTCTGGTGATGAGCCATCTCTGTGACAGGATCTGAGCCAGGTAAAGCCCTTATAGCTGGATCAGGCTCTGTACTCTGCAGATGGCCCTGCCATGGCACATAGGAGCCCTTAGCATTGGTGCCCATTCACAGGTTTGGAATCAAGACATCGTCTGGGTCCTTGCCCCACCCCATCCCCAGTCCATGCCAACAGGCTGGCTGTTCCTACCCCGGTGAGGTGTCCAGGGTGAGGGAGGTGAGGGCGCTGGAGAAGTGTCGGGTGTCCCACAGTTTCACTTCATGTTCACGCATCTGTGGGGAGGGGACAGAGAGAGAAGCTCAGAGGTCGTCTGTCAGCGACCAGGGCTCCCCAGGAACTCAGTGCCCAGGGACACAGCTTGGCACAGAGGAACTTGCCCCAGAAAGAGCTTAGAAGGCAGTGGTGGTAGGAGGGAAGCATGTCTGGAAGGGAGATATTTGGGTTTTCAGGTCCTGCCCCTTTAAGAACTCTTAGGTGACAAGGGACAAGGGGCGTTTCCCTGCATGGACTCTGGTCCCTGGGGGAGCTGCCACAGTTCCCAGGGTCAGGCTTAGCTATTACAAATGGAATCTACCAGTTTTCAGCGGCAGTTGGTCCCCTGGGGCTCTGAGACCCGGCTGCACTCAGGGCTATATATGGACAGGCCTGAAGCTAGCCTGCGGCCCCTGCCTCCCAGTGGGCCTCATCCCTGCTCTCTTGGTATGAGTCCCTGCTCACCTTCAAGGAGCCCTACCTGGTTGAATCCAGTGGACACAAGGTGCTCCTGGGTGCCTGTCCACGCCAGCCGGCCATCCTTGCTGTTCTCATGGGCCTGTGTGCTCTGCAGGAGGCAGGAGAGAAAACTGAACCACCCAAAGGGCCACTAGCCTGACAGCCCAACAGAGCAGAGGAGAGGCCAGGTCGGGGCCCCCTGGGAGCTGGTTAGAGACTGGGGAAGCCTCAGATCACTACAGGATGGACCCCAGCTAAATGTGGGTGCAGGTCTGCACCTGAAGAGCAGACCTGCACCCACATCGGGCTCAGTCTCTCTCCTCGTAAGGGAACTGTCAGGCTGTCCTGCTCACTATTAGGCCCCCTTGCTACAGCGACTCAGAAGGGTAGCATGCCATTGCCCCTGCAGGTGTCCTGGAGGTAGCACTCAGCTGCTTGTCCCCATCCCCAGGTTCTGGGGACCTGTGTGCCCTGTGAGGAATTTCATTTTTCTCACTTATGCATGGGCTCATGTTGCCCAGCCCGCCTACTACCCAGGGCTGTCGAGAGGATCAACTGAGACTATATGTGAGAGAGAAACAGGCCTGTTGCAAAGCGCTGTGCAAATCAAGGGATTACTAGAATTACTGCTGCCTCCTGATGCTGCCAGGGGACTGGGGAGAGGGCCTGGTGCCAAGCTCTGTGGAATGTCCTTGGAGAGGCACAGCAGTGCCCCTCTTCGCCCTCCCATGGTGCTAGAGCTGCCAGCTGGAAGGCTCACTGCGACCCAGGAAGGAGAGGCTTGGGTTCATACCATATGCAACCCTGTCCCCTGGGCCCAGATGGGGGGGAGTCCAAGAGGCCAGAGGAAATGCAAACAGCTCCCTCCCAGTCACCCTGGCCTCTAGAGCCTGAGACAAAAGACCCTGTTACCAAAAATAGCTCACCCCAAACTGTGGCCAGCTTCCTCCAAGCTTCCCACGATCTCCTTGGGAATGAATGAGGGAGGGAGGCAGCCTGTAAGGAGCTGGCCCACAGCCCCCTCCCCAGCCTGCAGAGGCAGACCCCAGCGTGGGAGACCATCGGAAATAGCTCAGCGTCATTCAAGGGGCTTTTCTCACTGTTTATTTCCCACCCAGCCACAGCCGGCACAGAGAAGTCAAGGCTAGAGCCTGAGAACCATTAACTCATACCCCTCTCCACACAAAAGGAGCTGTGGGGTCAGGGTGAAGGTCACCCCTATCCCCAACGCCCTAGAGAGTAGGTCAGAAGTGTCACATGGGCTCTGGTCCTCTCAACAGCATGCAAATACCCCATGTGTAAGCAGCAAACCGGATGGCTCACAACACATCTGAACTCCATTCATTCAATACACATGGGAAGCCTCTCAAAGGACAGGCACTATGCTAGGAGCTGATGGTGTACCAAACAGGTCTCAGAATGAAGTCATGTACTTGGGTGAAGCAGTTCTGCTAATTTTTTCCTCAATACAAGCATTTGAGCTGCACACTACAGTAGGTACTGGGTCATGGTGAACAGAAAAGACCTCCAAACTCATAGCATACACAAGTCAGGAGACAGATGTGAACCAAATAAACTATATCACCATATGTTATTACAAATGTCACAAAAAAAGGAAAGGTGGAGGTTAAGGTTGCAAAATTGACCGCCTGGGTGAAAACCCTGCCCGGCCACTAAGGGCCTCATCCCAGTATGAGATACTAAACGTCTCTGTGCCTCAGTTTTCTTATCTGTAAAATGAACGCCATTGTGGGACTTCTCTGGAGGGTAGTTTGAAGGAGTGTTAATAGTGGTGAAGTGTGCTCAGGGTGCTAATGGGCATTGTTTTAAAACATAGAGTACAATAAGAGGATAATTGAGTCCAGCCGGTGTGGCCCAGCAGTTGATTATCCATCTATAAACCAAGAGTCATGGTTGGATTCCCGGTCAGATCAATCCCCAGTGGAGGGTGTGCAGGAGACAGCCAGTTGGTCATTCTCTCTCATTATTGATGTTTCTATCTCTCACTCTCTCTCCATTCCTCTCTGGAAAAAAACACACAACAATAACAACAACAACAACAACAACAACAAAAAACCTTTTTAAAGAGCATAACTGAAGAGAGAAATAGATTTAAGGTAACATTTGAGTTAAGACATGAAGGATCAGCAGGTGTGAGTCTGCCAGAAGTGCAGGGGACCTAGGAAAGCAAAGGGCCAGTGCAGAGAGTGGATGGGTGGGAGCAAGGGAGAGGAGGTGACACCCAGTCAGCAGGGTCCCCAGGCAGTGACGGAGTGGTTTTTCATTCAGAGGCACAGGTTGGGGTTGGAACCTACTTTGGCCTGAACTCCCACCTTCCTATGTACACATGGAGAAACCAGAAGCCCAGAGAGCAGAAACTACCTGCCCCAAGTCACCTGTTGGTTATTTGAGCCCCTTGACACTGTGGGCTAAGTCCATGGTTATTGCTCTCTATCTGCAAGAGGAACCTGAGGTAAAGACAGGCGAGGAGACAGAGCCACAGCTAGAAGGCAGCAGAGCCTGGGTCACGAAAAGCACAGGGTCCTGGCTGCATCTGGGTCACCTTGGATATCCAACAAATGTCCTTGAACAAACTCCCACTGGAGGAAACAGGCCCCTGCAGCTTGCCCTGCAGCTTTCCACTTGCACCTTCTAGTCTCCAAACCAAGAAGTGAAGACAAGGTAAGAGCTTAGGCTGAGCCCAGAGTGCCCACTGTGGGTACACCCAGTTCAGTCTTCCCAGGGGCCTGAAGGGAAGGCCACTGCCCCCCCTCCCCTCTCTATCTCCTGATCATGGGTGTGACTTTCATTTTCAAAAATAGCAAGTTCACCCGGCCAGCTTGGCTCAGTGGGGTTGAGTGTCGACATATGAACCAGGAGGTCATGGTTTGATTCCCAGTCAGGGCACATGTCTGGGTTGCAGGCTCTGTCCTCAGTGTGGGGCATGCAAAGGGCAGCTGATCGATGATGATTCTCATCATTGATGTTTCTGTCTCTTTCTCCCTCTCCCTTTCCTCTCTGAGGTCAATTAAAAGAAAGAAAACCAAACAAAACAACAAAAAAAAAGTTCTTCAAGGACCTCAGTGAGACTCAGGGAAGAGGAGCCTTCTTTCCAGATCCTCAGATCCTCAATCTCCTGGGGCAGCAGGGAGGCTGCAGCTGGGACCCAGGCATCCTGCAAGCCAAGCTCCAGCCCTGTAAAAGGAGGCCCAGGGGGAAGCCACTGGTGGTAATCCCAAGCCTGCAGGCCAAGCCTTGGGGGTTTCCCTCTCACAGGGGACAGAAGAGGGAAGTCCTCTTCTTGTGGAAAAGTCCCCCATGCCCTCATGTTTCACTCACACATGGCTCCGTAGAGAACAGGAGGGGCTGAGACCAGGCAGTAGAGGGGCACCGGGAACATAGCATTCTGGCTGCAGGGCAGCCAAATCCCTCCGCTGCTGCCATAACACTTCCAGACAGGGCAGCTGGAGGAGTTGACCTGGGCTCCCGCTCGGGTGAGAGGACCTTCTCCAGTGGTAAGACACCCACCCCGTTCACCCATGCTCCCCCAGAGCTGGGCTCAGTATTGGGCTCTAGGTGCCCTTCTCCCACGCCTGTCCAACACACAAGGTACAGGTCCACCTGCCCGGAAGGTACAGGTCCACCTGCCCACACCAGAGGTGAGAGGGCTTGTCCCAACCCCACTCCCTGACAGGGTACTAAAGCCTCACTACTCCCTGGACACCCCCTCATCTGTGGGCCGAACTTCCCATGGCACACCCATGGCTTCAGAGACTCAGACACCCACACTGGGCTCCGGCATAGGGAAGGGACAGCAGAGGGGTCCAGGGGCTCCCAGACCACGCCTGCCTCTGTTACTCAGCTGTGTGATCTTGGGGGAGAAATGATCAAAGGGCAGGCTTCATAGGCCAGTCATAGGGGTGGAAGGCGGTGGTGGGTGGAAGGAGGTGGCTCATGCCAAAGGCCTGGGACATAATAAGTATAATCTAAAAACAAAATAGGGCATGCGAATAGGAGGGGGATGCCCAAGCATCCCCTGCTCCAAGCCAGATACAGGGTCCAAAAAAGACAGCGGAGGAAGGCCTCCCAGGCCTCCCCAGCCAGCTTCCAGGCTGCGGGGACAGCCACTGGAGCAGGGAGGACAGAAGCTGGACGATTTCCTTCCCTGACCCCCTGCCCCAGCAAACGCTCCCCTCTAGTGGGGAAAGGATCTCAGGAGATGGTGCTCCCAGAAGGCCTCTCCCTGGAGCTGGCCCCTCGGCTCGCACCAAGCCTGGCCGCCAGCAGCAGTTTTCCTAATAGAAGCCAGGTGTGGGCCAGATGCCCTGGGCGGAAGTAGGGGGGCAGGGCCATGCACAGGCAGCATTCCAGGCCCGCTGCCCCCACACCAGCACAGGCACTGTCCCAGCAGCAGGGAGTGGGTGGGAGCCACCCACGCTCTTCCCAGGTTTCCTCACTGAGAAGCCCCTTTAGGAGGGCTCCCTCCAAAACCAGATCTTCTCCCTCCCCCTTCTAGGAACTTGGAACCCCTTGGACAACAGCCACTGAATCTCTACCTCAGCACCATTACCCTCCCCTCCTTGCTGGAAAAGGATGAGAAGGAGATGAAAAGGAGGAGGAGGAGGAGGAGGAAAAGGAGGAAGACAAAGGAAAGGAAGAAAACATTCAGGCCAGGGAAGCCGTCAATGCCCAGTCAGGTCAAGAATGGGGGTGCTACACACTGCTCCCCAAAACCTTGGATAGCAGAGGGCAACCTAAGAAAGCTGGGGGAACAGGGCTTCAGACTCCCCTTTCAAGCTGAGCCTGGAACCCTTCTTCCAGGCAAAAGCTTGGAGACTAGCTACAGAAAACTACAGTGTGAAGCTCACTGCTCACACGCTCACTGCCTAAGACTCAGATTCAGCTCTCCCCACGAGCCACAGAGGCACGGCCTGGCGGCAGGGAGTGCTAAAACCACTCCTGCCCAGCCTGGTTCCTCTCTCAGGGCCGGGCCTCCTTTTGGTCTTCAGCCAGCCAGAAGCGGGGCTGACTGGATGGCCTTGGGCAAAAAGTTGCAAATGGCTAGTGAGGGGGATTGTGTGGGCACAGCTGTGTGTGTGTGTGTGTGAGGGGGGAGGTGCCAGGGCCCATAGCTGGTTGGGTTTAAGCTGGTAGATTATCCTTTCCTCCACTTAAGTGGGGAAACAAGCTCTAGAAATGGAGACCAGGACATCTGTGATGAGACTGGGGCTTTGCAGGAGAGTTTCTCCAGAGCTTGCAACAGGGCCTTGAACTTTACCTTTCCCAGGGAGAAGTCTCCTCAGCTTCTAGAAAAATCCTTTTAAAAGTACAAACCCCCTCATCTTTTTAAAAAATCTTTTACACAATGTAAATCCGCTCATGTATGCTTAAAACTCTCTAATGGCTTCCTACAGCAAAGGTGAGAGGCCCTTCACCATGGGCCCTGGCTCTCCTCTGTGGCCCTCACTCCTGGAACGAGCTTGTCCCACCTCTGGCTGGCTGTCCCCTTTGCACCACTCAGGTCTCAGCTCCGAGCCATTTCCTCAGGGAAGCACTAAACTGTGTCAGCAAGAGAAGCCTCTGGGCAAGTACCCCTGTGTGTCTGGTTCACCACAGAACGTTCCAAGCTTGGCAGCAAGCTGCTATAGAATGAAGGAACGACTCTGAAGTGGCTCAATGCCTATAGCCTTCCCAGGGGCCAGCCTCCCCACTCAGAACTCATAGGGCCACACACACCTCATGCACGTCTATTGACAAAACCTAACAGGCTCATTACTGTGTCCCTCAGATCTGGCAGGCCCCTGGCACAGCCCAGACCCTGGACAAAGACTTAGGGTGTGTCTGCTATGTGAGACTAGAGGGGTGCGGATGGCAGCACTGGGACTTTTGGTTCCTCTGGAGCTAGCCTCTGTTGGCCATGCCAGGAAGGGTGGGTGGGGATGAGGGTCTTAAAGAAGGAGAGGAAGTTGGAATCTCAAATTATTTTCCTGAAGCCACAGGACACCTCCAACGAAGGCCTGTGGGCAGCCTGACTGTGCCCACTCTGAGATCAAAGCCAGACCCTCCCAGGACCCAGAATATGCTTCTCGGAAAGAGCTGGAGCCCACCTCTGAGGTGACCCACACCCACCCAATGGGCCTTGGCCAGGGGTACGGGGTGTGGTAGAATCTGTCAACCAGGAGGCTGAACCTGCCCCTGCCTGTTCATGTTGGAGCCACTGGGGCCTCAACCGAGCCCCGCTGCTCACACAACTCACCTGGGAGGCCTCAGGCTTTGCTCTGGGGTCAAAGATCCTCAGCTGCTTGTCCTGGAAAAGCAAAGAGGAGGCAACATGAGTGCAATTAGGGTGGGCTGGGTCCCTGGGGGCCAGCCTGTCTCCTGGATCCCAGTCTCTGATGGTCCCACTCCTCAGGATACAGGGCTGGCATTCAGCACTAGGAGACCCCTCCCCAGGCTGGTTCCCCCTTCTCACCACAGGAGGCAGGCTCCTTTTCCTGCCTTAGTCATTCACAATAGAGAATTCACTGACAAGAGTTCACATTTCCTGCCGAAACCAGTTTGGCTCAGTGGACTGAAAGGTCCCAAGTTCGATTCCGGTCAAAGGCATGTACCTTGGTTGCAGGCACAATCCCAGTAGGGGGTGTGCAGGAGGCAGCTGATCAATGATTCTCTCTCATCGATGTTTCTAACTCTCTATCCCTCTCTCTTCCTCTCTGTAAAAAAATCAATAAAATATATATATTTTTAAAAAAATTCACATTTCCTAAGTTACATGCAGGATCTCCCCATCTTTCCAACCACCTCATGAGGCAGTGTTATCACCATGTCCCCTTCACAGACCTGAACAAAACTCTAGGCTAGCAGCTACTACACGTGTCCAGTGCTGGCCCAGAGGGGCTCACGGGACAATGTCATTTCTACACTTTAAAAATTTGATGTCTAACCAAGACGATGAGCTTACACATCTTTTTAAAAAATATATATTTTATTGAGTTTTTACAGAAAAGAAGAAAGAGGGATAGAAAGCTAGAAACATCGATCAGCTGCCTCCTGCACACCCCCTACTGGGGAATGTGCCCACAACCAAGGTACATGCCCTTGTCCGGAATCGAACCTGGGACCCTTCAGTCCGCAGGCCAACGCTCTATCCACTGAGCCAAACCGATTTTGGCGAGCTTACACTTTTTTTTTTTTTTTTAAGGTAGGCACTTTTAAAAATATATATATTTTATTGATTTTTTTCAGAAAGGAAGAAAGAGGGATAGAGAGTTAGAAACATCGATGAGAGAGAATCATCAATCAGCTGCCTCTTGCACATCCCCTACTGGGTATGTGCTCGCAACCAATGTACATGCCCTTGACCGGAATCGAACCCGGGACCCCTCAGTCCGCAGACTGACGCTCTACCACTGAGCCAAACCGGTTTCGGCAAGTTCTTTATTTTTTATTGATTTGAGAGAGAGAGGAAGGGAAATACTGATGTGAGAGAAACATCAATCAGCTGCCTCCCATATGGGCGGCCCTTGTCCAGGATCGAACCTGCAACCTAGGTATGTGCTCTGACAGGAAATCCAACCTACAACCTTTTTAGTGAACAGGACTATGCTCCAACCAACTGAGCTATCTGGCTGGGCCAGTCATGATAAATTCTTAAGTGTTAAAAGGAAGATGCAGAATAACATGGCATGGTGCAATCCTACTGTGATAAAAGGAAACAAAGTTCCCTATTTGTCTAACCATGTATTTATAGGTTTTGCAAGTTTGCTGAGCAAGGAAAAAGATGTTAACTAGCACAAGCTATGTGTTAAAGATGGGTACCAGGACTAGGGGTTGCGGGGGTTGATTAGCTTTTCCTTTTTAAATTTTGGAATGGTTCCACTTTGTTTCAATCAATATGGATTTATACTTTCATATTTTGAACAATGAACCTGAAATGAACAACTGGAATTTGAAATTAAAAGCATAATACCATTTACAATAGCACCTAAAATATTGAAATACTTAGCTATCAATCTAACAAAATATGTACAGGATCTATATCAGGAATACCATAGAACTCGCATGGAAAAAATCAAATCCTATCTAATAAAAGAGTAATATGCAGATTGACCATCACTCCAACACACAATAGCTGACCCCATATGGTCAAAGATGGCTGCCCTTATGTGGACACAAGATGGCCACCACAAGATGGCCAGCAGGGGACAACAGTTGGGAGGCACCAGGCCTGCAAGGGAGGGTAGTTAAGAGGGACCAGGCTTATAAGGGAGGACAGTTGGGGTCAATCAACCCTGATGGGGAGGCCAGTTAGGGGTGACCAGGCCAACAGAGGAGGGAAGTTGGGGGCAAACAGGCTGGCAGGGGAGCAGTTAGACATCAATCAGGCTGGCATGGGAGTGGTTAAGGGGTGATGAGGCTGGTGGGCAGAAGCAGTCAGAGGCAATCAGGAAGGCAGGCAGGCGAGCAGTTGGGAGCCAGCAGTCCTGAATTGTGAGAGGATGTCTGATTGCCCATTTAGTCAAACATCCCTTGAGGGGGATCCCAGATTGGAGAGGGTACAGGCTTGGCTGAGGGACACTCCCTCACCCTGTGCACAAATTTTGTGCACCGGACCTCTAGTAACTAAATAAATGGAGAGAGAGATAGTCCATGTTCATAGACAGGAAGACTCAATATTGTCAAGATGTTAGTTCTTCCCAACTTAAACTATAGATTCAATGCATTCCCAATGAAAATTCCAAGTTATATTGTGGATATTAACAAACTGATTCTAAAGTTTATATGGACTTGCAAAAGACGCACAGTAGTCAACTCAACATTAAAGGAGAAGAACAAAGTTAGAGAATTGACCCTACCTGAATTTGCTCTAAAGCAATAGCAATCAAGATAATGTGGTACTGGCCTAAGAATAGACTAAACAGATTAAATGAGTAGAAAAGAAAGCCCAGAAATAGATCCCATATAGTCAACTGATCTTTGACAAAGGAGCAAAGACAATATTCTTTTCAACAAATGTTACTAGAACAATTGGACATCCACATGCAAAAAAATAAATCTAGACTTAGAGTTTACACCTTTCATAAAAATTAAATCAACCTAGCCAGTTTGGCACAGTGGATAGAGTGTTGGCCTGTGGACTAAGGGTCCCAGGTTTGATTCTGGTCAAGAGCACATGCCTGGGTTATGGGCTGGCCCCTCCCCAATAGGGAGCATGCAGGAGGCAGCCAATCAATGATTCTCTCTCATCATTGATGTTTCTATCTCTCTCCCTTACTCTCTGAAATCAATAAATATATATTTTTAAATATTAACTCAAAATGGTTCACAGACCTAATTATAAAAAGCAAACCTATAATACATCTAGAAAATAATTTAGGAGAAAATCTAGGTGATCTAGCATTTGGCAAAGACTATTTAGTTATAATACCAAAAGTATGATCTATGAAAGAAATATTAATAAATTGGGCTTGATTAAAATTAAAAACTTCTGCTCTGCAAAAGATACTGTTAAGAAAATGAAAAGACAAGCCACAGAAAGGGAGAAAATATTTGCAAAGCACACATCTGAGAAACAATTTATATCCAAAATATACAAAAACACTTAAAATTCAAAAATAAGAAAACAAGCAACCCAGTTTAAAAAGATACACAGATGAAAAATGAAGATATAAAAAATGCTTGCCCTAGTTGGTTTAGCTCAATGGATAGGGCATCGACCTGTGGACTGAAAGATCCTGGGTTCAATTCTGATCAAGGGCACATGCTCAGATTGAGGACTTGATCCCCAGTTGGGGGTATGCAGAAGGCACCCAATCTATTAGTCTCATCATTGATGTTTCTCTCTGAAATCAATAAAAATATATCTTTTAAATGCTTAACATCACATCTCATTAGAGAACTGTAAATTTAAACAACCATGTGTTACAATTACACACCTACTAGAATAGCTAACTTTTTTTTAAATGAAGATACTAAATGCTAAGGAGGATGTGGAGCAACAGGAACTCTCATTTGCTGCTGATGGGAATGCAAAATCATGCAGACACTTTGGAAGACAGTTTGGCAGTTTCTTACAAAGCAAAAAATACTCTTAGCATATGATCCAGCAATTGTCTCTTAAAGTATTTATCCAGATGTGTTAAAACTTAAGTCCACATAAATGTTTATAGCAATTTAATCATAACTGCAAAAAGTGGAAGGCAACCAAGATAACCCCAGTAGGTGAAAAACACATAATATTATCTATCTACCTATCTATCTATCTATCTATCTATCTATCTATCTATCTATCTATAAAAAGCCAGCGATCGGAATGCCGAAATGACCCAAATGATTGGTGACTATGACGCCCACTGAAGCCAGCAAACCGGCCCAATCAGGAGGTGAAGCCAGCTGACCAACCTCCTGCAGCCTCTCCCCCCAGCCCCATGGGCCCCCACAACCCTCATTGGCCCGCAGGCCTTCTCTCCCAGCCAGCATTGCCCCTGATCGCCCCCCTTATCCCAATAGGGGATGGGGTTGGCCGGTCAACCTCCTGCAGCTGCTCCCCGCAGCCTGCCCGCACTACCCATTGGCCCATGGCCCCTCCTCCCAGCCAGCTCTGTCCCTGATCGGCCCCCCTCTGACTCCGATCAGGAACAGGGCTGGCCGGCCAACCATCCATGGGCCCTCCCCAAGGTTACTAGCCCCCGATCGGCCCTCCCCACATCATTTGGGGAAGGGGTCAGCAAGCCCACCACCCACAGCCCCTTACCATGGCCAGCCCCACCCCCTGATCAGCCCCCACCACCTCGATTGGCCTTCAGCCCCTCCCCCAAGCCAGCTCTGCTTCCAATTGGCGCCCAATCAGGGATGGGGCCACTTGGGCCACCATCCACAGACCACCCCCATGGCCAGCCCTGCCCCCAATAGGTCCCTCACCCCAATTGGGAGCAGGGCCCACTGGACAATCACCTGCAACCCTTCCCTCCAGCTGGCCCAGCCCCAATCAGACTCCAATCAGGGAGAGCTGGCTGGCCAACCTCCCACTGTCTCCTCCTCCCAAAAGGCCCGGTCCCAATCTGCTGATTGGGGGTGGGCCAGCTGTACCCCACCTGTGCACGAATTCATGCACTGGGCCTCTAGTCCAGTGAGAACAAGAAGTAGCTAATAGCCCAAACCATAAAACTCCTAGGAGAAAACAGGGGAAAAGCTTCATAATGTTGGACTTGGTAATGGTTTCTTAGTTATAATACTGAAGCATAGGGAACAAAAGTAAAAATAGACAAGTGGTACTACATCAAACTCAACTTTTGTTATAATCAAAGA